ATTAATGTTCACTTGTAGTTCAGTGGCTGCAGGTGGTTTTTCTGGACGAAGTGCAGGTGGTGGTCGATTCAAGAGCTTCTTGAAGTGGTCGGCCCATTGTTTCCTCTGTTTCTCTTCTTTCGTAATTAAATTTCTTTCTTCATCTTTTATTGGTTTCATCTGTGTTGGTTTCTTCCCTGATAGCAACCTGGTTATTTGATACAATGTCGTCAGGTCTCTCTTACCAGCCGGCAGCCTGTTCTGCTTCACTTGCCAGTGTTTCATAGAAGTGTCTTTTGTCTTTGCGTGCACTCTTCTTTACTTCTTTGTTCAGTGTTTTATACATTGTGCTCAGTTCCTCTTGTCGTTGAGCATCCTTGCACTGGTTTATCTTCTGCTTCACCATCCTCCTCTCCTACCACCAAATTTATTGAATGGAAAAAAAATTCGCATTAAAATATTAGGACCTCTCCTATGAAGTTGATGCCTCAGTTAATGACAGTTTTAAGGAGGAAACTTGTGAAACTAAACAGTCTTTTATCTTACCAACTGGAAATTAGAAAGCTGAAACTAACTTAGTTAACATGGTGGCCTTGAGCAACTCTATCAATAGTATTACCATCACCTAATGACACTTATGTGAAGAATAAGGGTAAATTTGATTGAATCTAGCTGTGTTTATGAACAGTGATAATTGTTTGCAACTCTGCTCTTAGTTGTTACTCTCTTGATAAGGTCAGAAACTACGCTACCTGTTATTAGATTAAAACTTCAGCACTTCCTGCTGGGTCTAACTACAGGTTTTAAGAATCTCCATTATGCATTATATTACTGAGCTATCGGACCCAGGCTAGCAAATGGAAAGCCACTTGGCGTGACTCAGGTTTTCATACCATCTTCATTTGTTACCCATTATAAATATTAGATTTAGTTGAATGCATTGATGCTTTAGCTTGTCTTTCATGCGCTTTTAGCAGTAATACGGAAGTTTAGTAATCGATAAGTTAGTTCAGTAGAAGCTATGGCAAAGTCAAAAGAAATGCATAGGTCTCCGTTTCATCTCTGTAAATACCATAGTGTTAAAGTTTTTGATTTTATTATTGGTTGATGCAGAGTCGAAACCTCGTCATCGGTTGGTCAAACGCTTTCATTCACGATAATAAATCCTGTTTGTCATAACAGTTTGAAGTTAGCAGTACTACTGATGCCGGTTTGTAGGTGGATCAATTTTGTATGTACTAGTAAATTTATCCAGTTTAAAAAAACAATTTCAAAACCATCGACAAAGTTCATAAGATTTCCCACAGTCAAGTAGTTTATCGACTGCTCACCTGTTTCCTCTACCGACTTCTATTAGAAATTACTTTGTTATGATCATAAGCTGTGGTCTGTGACATTGGAATTAAGAGGGACTAGCGAAATATACTCACAGTATATGTAATTAGTCAGGACCCTCAAAACTATAAAGTCAAAGCGATGTGAATATCAGATGGATATTTAGTTTGTTTGACCCTAAGTTCAAATCTCTTCTAGTCGAACTGATTTAACGACTCTAAAGAATGAATTTTAAAAAAAGCCTAAGAATTCATATGACAGCCTGTCAAATCTTTAGGTTATTATGAAAGTGGTAGAAAAGACTACTCATAATGGAATATCATACGTGATAATAATCATTATTATATTTTTATTATTTGTCCCTTGGGTTCCTAATGGAACATACGGCTTCACTAGCACGTCTTCAGTGACCTCTGTTCTCTGAAATCTTTTGAACCTGGTTCCACGACAGCTCAGAAGCTCTTATTTCCTCCTCGCACGATCTCTTCCATGTCACCCTCACCACGGACGCCCAACTCGTCGCTTCCTATCGGTGTTCCACTTGAGCAACTGGCCTGACGCGTCATGTCGCCAGTCGGCCTTCTCAGTGTATGCCCAAGTTTTACTGGCCGAATCAATTGTTACTGACATACAGTCAAATAATTCCTATACCAGTAGTTCTCTACTAAAGATGTCGATGTGGACTATTGGCGAAAATTTATGCGGTTTTAAGGGAGCCTGTAGAAACATTTATACCAATGAATTCTTTGCTGCAAAACAAAACTAATCTCTTTTAGTCTTCCCAAATTTTTATGTGAATTTATTTCTATGACAAACCACCGCAGTCTTGTCACTTTACTACTGATTATTGTTTGTGTTTAGTTGTCTGTCTATAAGTGAATGCTGGATTTACAGAATAATTGGCACTGGATAGTAACAGAGTGCAGGAAGAGAATTATATCCAACTTAACGTTCACCAGCTGTATGGCCACATCAGGCGTTTATTGGTTTCACTGGTTACCTAGTTGAGTCGGCCCACTTCTGTCCACTGAGTGTTACTTGCTTATGGAGTCTGTAGTCTTTAGGGTTGTGTTTCATGACATTGGAGTCAAATGGATAAAGCTTCAGGACTTGAAGTCATTGATATCCGGTCTCAGTCTGAGTGGAACAGTCAGCATTCAACAAAGGAGTTTCAAACAGGGTGAAGCGCCCTTTTTTAATCTGACTGTTAGTCGTCACTAAATCTAATCGGAGTTTAATCGCTGGCTATGTCAAGGGATTCTTATCTGTAGTCAGTATTCTAACAAAAGCTACTCACCTTAGTTTTGTAAAGCTAGGCCTACTGTTTACTGAACACTATGAGCAGAATTTTTGGTTATATCATCTACTGTCGTCGTTATCTAAATGTGATGATTATGTAAAACTAAACTGAACATTATTTACTAACAAGTATGTCAATAAATAGTAATAACTACTACCTGTTGTACAAAAAGTGGATACTGTTTCTCCGTAGCATAGTGGATAACGCGATGTGTACGAGGTTTGAGCCTCAATGGAACCAACATCACTGACTAGGGTGCAGGTACACCCAGCTGACGAATCCCAAATAGGACGGAACGCGCGTCCTGGATTCTTATGCTAGCCACAACGAACCAAATTATCAGATTAAACTGAACATTCGTGAAAGATGAACTCTGACTGCGTATCATTGCTTCTCATTTAAAGCTTTGATATGTGTAGAATGTTTATTCCTCGCTCACATCCAGCTGACGAGTCCCAAATAGGATAATATGTGCATACTGGATTCCACTGCTAGCCACTACCCATCTTTACAATTTTTGGTATAATTTAGAACTGTTAGCATATTATATATTGGGACAAAAATATAGATACCCCCTTACAACATTTCAAATTATGTAGACTTCGCAAGTTAAGTTAAGTAGAGACTATTAATAACGAGGAAAGTTTATATCGTTAGTTGAAATATTGAAAATATTGGTTAGTTATTATTACAAAGTTGATTAGTGAGTCCTATTTCAACACTTTTTTCCTCACATAAGACACATGTTAGGTAAGGCAGACATAGTTGTATTCTGGTATCTATCTGTACGAGCGCACACTCTTATGTGATTTCATCGCGTCTTCCCTGAGAAAATACAAAGAGATAGTTGTGAATAAAGTGGATGCTCAGTGTCAATTAAAACTACTGTAGCCAGCTGCTGGATAGAATTCAAGTTTCTATCAACTACTGTGTTGATCAGATGGGTTAGGGGTATAGCACTTACCCTATTAAAGGCCTTCAAAGCCCTACGCAATATAACATAGTCCTTTTTAGTAGACCAGGAAAGATTAGCAGGGGAACAATAGAGAAGAGTAGGTAAAATACAGGACTTAATAAAATGTAAAAGTAGAGGCTGAGTTATACCAGAAAGTTTCAGCTTCCTTATGTAATAGGTTAAACAAAAGGTTTTCTTAAAAGTCAACGAGATATGAACCCATCAACAGAAATCAGAAGTAAAACTGAATCCAAGATAGTTAACACTCGATCTACTTTCTACAGCAATACCATCAATACAACCGACATCATGGAACTTAAGCAGCTAATACGAGTCTTGAGGTTAAAATTAACATTCTGATATTTAGAAGGGATTAGCTTGAGACTATTTTAGAAAGATCACTGGCCAATTTCAGACAAAATGCCTATTAAATTCTTAGCAATCTCAGTAAGAGTTAACTGATACAGATACTGTCAGTTCATCATCATAATTAATAATCTTAGATTAGTCTGGTTTTGTTGTGAATAAACTCCTAACATCTAATATCAAAACACAGTAACTAAAGGTTTACATTACTTCTATCAGTATTAGACTGTTAGAATTCGACATTTAGATCTAGTGATCAATTCATGTGTTCTTGAAATCATTAAATTTCAAGATTTATTAATTATCAATTTGTAATTTATTATTCTGATTGTGATTCAATTAAACTAGTGATTACAAAGTCTAGGGTAAACACCCAAAAGTGACTCAGGTTCATCGTGAGTCATGATGATTCATATTCTTGATTAAGATTTAATAGAATTTTTTGAGGGAGTTGGAAATATTTCAAGTTGTTATTCATCGTAGACTGACATCAGTTGGAGGAACAAAGGAGGCCTGGGAGCACTGGACAGCTGTTTCGTCCTAGTATGAGACTCTTCAGCAGTGCGCACCCACGACCCCGCCAGGGCTCGAGCCCGAAGCCAGCGTGTTATCACTGAGCCACGGTTGCGCTGTATCGTGAGTTAACAGAAGTTGGAAATATGGACCACTGGATTTTGACCCAGTGGTAACGGGCTGGCCAAGGAACCTGAAGATCGCGGTTTCGATCCCTGGTGGGGTCGTGGGTGTGCGCTGCTGAGGAGTCCCATACTAGGACGAAACAGCTGTCCATTGCTCCCAGGTTTCCTTTGTTCCTCCAGCTGATGTCAGTCTACGATGAATGACAACTTGAAATAAGATTTAATAGTTTGGATTATTGAGGAATTTAAGGTCAGTAGGAAAGTCAACAGTTCCATTTTTGTTTTTAAGTGATTTCTCTTAAAAAATTACATAGCATATCTTCATTATTATCTTTTTAATTGAATTTTAGGCAAACTATGCTTCCTAATATCTCATTGTTATTATTATTGTTTCTTTTTTCTCTAAACATTTCCTTATTTGTTTTAGAAATGCAAAATAATATTATCTCATGTGTTGTGGTCGTTTATCTATCGGTTGCAGCCTCTGTATTGATTGGGGCGTTTTCAACTTTATTCCGTGCTGTACCCGCAGCTATGGTAACGGGTGTATTGTATGTTACTTCTGGTAAGTTGATGGTATTATATATTCAAGTTTTTATTCATCCTGGAAATGATACTACTACTACTACTAATAATAATAATGATAATAATGGATTTATTTCAAACAATATGTATGACAGTATGGAATTCTCAGGATTTAATTTTTCAACAAATTCACTCTCAGAACAATACTTTCAGACGAAATGGTTATTGCATATGCCTGATGTTGATGATAACACTATTCAAGGCAATAATATGAAATAGTCAGCTGGTTCTGGATGGGCGTCCTATCCATAATGACGAATCGACAGAAATGCAAGCTTAATTTTAGTGGTGGTGGCTCATTTAGATGGTAAAAATCTAAAACTCAAGCTAAGCATCTGATGGATAGAAATATGGTGTACTTTTGTACACTGAAAAGTCCACTTCCATATAACGTAACATTTATTCTCTGTTTTGTTATTGATTCAAGAAACGGAGAGTTGAAAACAGTTTAAAAATGTGCAAGAGTACATGATAGGTTGAAAGGATATATTTAAACGATTAAAACAAATTGAAAGGAAAGAATTTGGTAGCTCAAAGTTCAAACAGGCCGCCGTTGGTGGTAATTTATCATTGTTACTAATATGATCAATGCTTCATCGTCAGTGTGTCGATACTGTGTATGGTAAGAATGTCGCTGTCAAACTGAACAGTAAATCCAACAGATGAGAACACTACAAGAGGAAGTGATTGCTTGTGAGCTACTTTGAAGGGTATGAACAATCTCAGTGGACAACACATAACAGTACTGCTGCTTAAGAAGTTTGTTTCAGTCCACTAGTCTCATGAACTCTTATCTCTTTATAATTTCCCTCATAGATAGATAGCTGTAACTGATTAATGTGACTACCGTTTTACTCGCCAGGTTAGCATAATTTTCAACTAGTATATTAGGCGAAAATTTTGTCCGATAATTTAGGTCAGAAAACAATCGATGAAACCAAATTAACGATATCAAAAATGCTGAACATTTTCTACGAGAGTAAATAATAATATGTTTACCTACTCAATAATAATCGATTTTTATCGGACAAGAAAATGATTTTACTTGTAAGGATAAGCTATCTTTTATTTTTCTCACTCTTTCTGAAGGCTGAACTCTCATTGGTTGTTAACTCCTTTGACTTATCAGTGAGTCAAGTGTTTGGCGAGGTCGCTTATAATACATACATTCAGCATTGCAATCAACTATTCTGACGGTTTTTCAGACAGTAAGAGCTCTCTGCCAACGGTCTGGCTTCTCTTATTGTCTGACTAGCGATTAGAGAAGATTCTTGTCGCCAGTAGTCTGCTAGGTCATTTTAACAGTCATAACAGTATGAAAATTTCAACATAACAGGATGATGTATTTGACAGATGGAAATCGAGGAACCAGAAAACACTTCATTCAGTATACCGGCTATAATAGATGTGAGTGTTTTTCACAGCTTATCATCAAACTCAAGAAGTCACAAATTGGGACGCATGTGGTCAGTAAATGTAAATTTTCAGGGGAGTGGTTACTTTGAAGGAAGTTTTCGTCATAAATTAGTCTTACCTGAAAACGGTTTGTTCAGGAGTTCAAAAGTATTCGGTTGTCTGATATGTTTCATTTCGTCAGTTGGTTACTTACTCTGAGCATACTTAATGTTTAAAAAAATACTACAGCACAACTAAGAAAGAATAATAATTCTAATGTAACATCTCATTTGACCTCATGGAGACTGACCAAGCTGATTTTCAAACATATCTGAAGACTCATTAGTGCAGAAAGATTCACCAGCATATGTTTCAAAGTCTTTGTTTATCCGACGTGAATTTTATTTTACTGGAAAAATGAAATTTTCCATTTCACAGTTTTTCATGTAACATAGTGATATGGTAGTTGAATGGTAATGTGTTGGAGTCGAAGTTTGACAGTACTGGCTTTAGTGACGTCTGAGTACGTAAGCATACACCGTGGAGCAGTCTGGGACCAGGATGAGTTCCTGATGAAAAACACCTTGAAATGCAGCAACCGCACTAAAATTTGGTGTTCTAACCCAATGGCTCAATGGTAACATGTTAGCCATGGAACCTGAAGATTCTGGGTTCGATCCATTGGGGGCAGGGTCATGGACACGCACTGCCGAAGTGTCACATAGTAGGACGAAAGAGCTGCGCACTGCAGCCAAGTTTTCAATGTTCCTCCAACTGATGCTAGTCCATGATGTGTACCAACTTGAAAAATCAATGAAACCCCACAGATCCCGAATTCAATATTTTTTCCTTGCGTTTTGATATTTGGACATTTTTCATGTTTTATAGGTACAAAGTTTAGGTAAAGCTATGCTGTTGAGCTGTATATCGGCGTTAAAGAGTCTAATTACGATACGTTTATCATCGAATAACCGTGTAGATATTCACAAAACATAATCACAATAAATCATGGATACGATAATCGATTGGAAGTTATGAATGTGTTGCCTGATACGGGATCGAATCGAATGTACTCAGTGACCTTGTACACATTCATGTAGTAGGCAGTAAGCCACACCTAGTGTGTGAGGGCTTATGATACTATTACCTGACTCCCAAACCTGGATAGGTGGGGCGGGTTTCGAACCCATGACCCATTGGTTGAAAGGCATCTCCCTAAACCGATGAGCCACTGCCTGACGTGGGTTGTAGTGCTTAGGTGTATGTTGTCGTCAAACTGTCGTGTTTACCCCTATTTTGGTCAGACATAGTTACATTTATGTGGTCACTCAATAGTGTGCGGAGAAAGTTTCTAATATCAAAAGTAACTTGTGTTTTTTTTCTTAAAAAAATTTAGCCTGTCTTTCAATATTCAATTGATGACTTCGTTTAACTAGAAAATGATAATTAGTGTTATGTAAGTCAGTACCTCCAGTACAAGTATTTGTAATAAACAGTGTGGGCTTATTGATGACACTGGACTACTATTTTTAGAGTATAAAAAGGTGGCCTCAAACCTGAATTGCAAAAGATGAGTGTTATTCAGAAATGACTTCATTTCCCTGAACTTCAGCTTCTTGATATATTCTCATTTTCAAAATTTTTCAGTTGACAGTAAGCACCATCAAAGTAGTAAATCAAGCCAACATGCATGTCAAGTTCTTAATTCACGTCAACCTTTTCGTCCACACTTTTTAAGAAGACGTAATAGGAAGGTATACAATATTCTACGTAGATATGTATTAGTATAATTGTTTTCATATGATACCGTCGTTGATTAGACCGAATTGATCAGTCCATATTAGCATATGGGCTCCTATGCGGGTGCCTTGATATTGCCAGCGTTCTAATTATGTTAATGAAATGGCTATAGTGGCTCGGTGGTGTAGTGAATAATGTGCTGGCGTTTGAAGCGATCACTCGTGAGTCCGAACACCACTCACTGAGAAGCAGGTACATCCAGCTGACGAGTCCCAAATAGGATGAAATGCGCATCCTGGATTCCACTGCTAGCCACGATCCATCATTTAGATATGTATTAGTTTTAAAAATTTCCATCATGTACATTCGAACAAGACATAAGTGGACAATATTGTCTTCAGTTAGATCCTCTTCAGGCTTTACTCTAATACAAATAGCTAATGTATATAGAATCAAACCAATCACGTAGATTTTTCGGTTAATGTGAAAAATATTTTGAAATAACGATGGTCATAACAATAAAAATAATAATAATGATAAAAGTGATAACATTGACGAAAGCACTTGTAGCATAGATGATCATGATGATAAGAACCAGGAAAGCAGCATGGAAATTTAAACACTCCAGTAATCAAAGTGGGTCAGAAGCTTGGAAGAATAAAAGTTACGTAACACTGAGAGATGAGGTAAGTGTATAAACAAAGTCGAAACAAATATGGTAAGGAAACCCGGTGGCCTCTAGTTCGAATCCAGCCGGGGTTCAAATTTTCATTTCACCATCCATCACCACCTGGAATTAAGTATTCCCTAGCCAAGGCAGAGATAAAAGATTTTACAAACCTCTTTTGGATACAAAGACTAAGATTCTGTCGCTTGAATTCGATCAGCTTCTGCTTTGTGTAGAAGACGATTTCGAGTTGGTATGGGGCGAATAATCATGAATGCATTGTTCTTATCTACCAAGTGACCATTATCAACGAGGTGAGATGAAACAGATGTATTTTACCTACCCCATTCCTAACTATGAAGTCAGATACTCAGCAACACGTCTGTTATTCTGGTAGTACATCCTATGTTACTTTCTCCACAGGCGTAGCAAAACTTGTAAATACGCATAGAAATTGCAAAACTAGATCCCTTATCTTTTGTATTAGAGTAAAGCCTGAAAAGGATCCAATTGAAAACAATATTGCTCACCTATGTGTCTTGTTCCAAAAGATATGTATATTTACATTTTTAGACGCAATAGTATACATTGCAGTGAATTAATCAAAAATTAGGCGCTTCACACTTGCTTTGGTCAAGTTGCAGTAAAATAGTTTTAATGACAGGATGGGGTTTATACGATCAGAAGTGAGTAGCTGAACTGCAACATGTTTGCTTGATTAACCTGATGTCCTCGATTCTATCATGTATACAGTGCAGAGTACGTGTATACTTATCTAGGATTCTATACTTTACGCTATTATCTGGTTGAAAATATTGCACAATCTAATGAATTATTCTCCAGAATGTTACTACTGAAATTACAACAAACCATCAGCGAATGTATGGTTCGCTAATTATTGCTGTCTTTGGATACTTTATAGTCCGTATACGCATACTTATACCTTGTTTAGTTATTCTTTTCCAAGATTTTGGTTTACTTCGGGTATCAGTGTTTCAAGATGGCATTGATTATTATCCTCAAAAATGAGATGATAACATGATTATAGAATTCTTGTGACGGTCATATATTTGACGGAAGACGGATGTGAAAAGAACACCCCAGATACTTGTAATCATAATGAATCTATTCGATTGATAAGGATAACAAACCTAACACGAATAATCCATGTGACAAAC